CCTCCCTTCCTTCCTTCCTTCCTTCCTCCCTTCCTCCCTCCTCCCTTCCTTCCTCCCTCCTTCCTCCCTCTCTTCCTCCCTCCTTCCTCCCTCCCTCCTCCCTCCCTTCCTCCCTCCGTCCTCCCTTCCTCCCTTCCTCCCTCCCTCCCTCCTACCCTCTCTCCCTTCCTTCCCTCTGAGTTGCCAAGAGGCAGATTGACCTAAGGTCACATGGCTAGTTGCAGGTAGAGCTGGGAGTCAAACCCAAGCAGTTGTGCTTCTCCAGCACCATCTGTTCCCTAGACCGTATCCTGAAGTGGAGGCTGTGTCTTTTCTTGTCACCCTCGTGGGTGTGCAGAATGGTGCCTCACATGTAGATGCATCTGGTCCACGGCTGCTGGCTGCCGGAGAAAGGAGTGCCAGGTCCAGCGGGAATGCTCTTGACTGAGGTGGATCCTTAGCCCTCAGTTTAGAATATTTCACTTTCTACGCGGAGGTGGACGTTTGAATGTATGGAAGGGCAAGTGTCAGCGGCTTGGGCAGAATGCCGGCCCCGGATACAGTGGTGTCACTGACAAAACGGAATTGCCTTTCCCTTAGCACATTATCCTCATAAAGTCATTTTACCTTTCAAAGCACTTCATACACCTTATTCTCCTTCCCCAATTACAGCAGGGGAGGCACTTTTCATTCCGTTTTACTAAGATGCCCACAATGGAAAGGTTGAGCAATATATGCCCTTGTGGCTCCGCCCCTCCCCCAGCGTCCTGCGCGTGGCAGAACCTGAGGGGCCCTCGGGGCTAGAATGGTACGAAAAATATGCCAACTCTCTGGTTTTTAACTGATTTTCAACATACATATGTTTGGTCATCATGTAGATGGTCTTTGTCTACACATGCAAATCCTCTTTGTGAAACTTAACCCAAAGCCAGTTATTTCTGCAAGCATCATTTTGAGTAGGTCATGACCAACTCATACCCAACTCTGGAATCAGAAAGCGTACACAGTTCAAATGACCAACTGGTTAGTTACCATTAATAGATGTTTTCACCAAAAACTGAGTGCTGGGAGTTAACTCTTGCGTCTCCCACCCTGGCTGTCCGAGGCCATGACCTTCCCTGTGGTCCGGACGTTCCCCTCCCATCCTGCCCCGCGTGTGGGATGGGGTTCCACGTCTGTGAACCGCTGGCAGGAAGGAGTGCCCACCGTCTTCCATGATGGGGCTCAGGAAGTGGTTTGCACCCCAGTGGGGGCTCAGACTCCCTGTGCACAGAGGAAATGCAGGTGCCGCGGGGAAGTGCGAGGTGCACACAGGCAGCCTCCTCACCGCCTGCCTGAGGCGACTAATCCGTGGCCTGGCCTGACCTTGGGTTCCAGCTGTGCCAACACCAACAGTGCACGGCATTCTCGACCATGAGGCAGGGAGCCTAACAGGCAAGACGCGGGCCAGGTCCTCACGTGGCCCTTCTTTGTAGGAGTCGAGGCGCGCAGGCAGAGCCGGTCTGAGGAGGTGTCAGCATGGTTTTGCTGATCATCTACAGTCGGCACTGAGCTCTCTGGGTCCTATTGTTGTTTTTCTTTTTCACTTCTTCGTGTGGAAGAGAGACTCGTCTGGTTCCCAAGGTCAGGAAGACACTAAATCCCCTGTCCTTGTGGATGGGATCCCACAGGGAAAACGAGAGGCATTACCTGTGGTCATGACGATTCCTGCCAGTGCTTTGTGGCGGGCGTGCGTGGACGCCAGGCCCACAGTCAGCTCGTGGAACTTCTGCGTGACCAGCTGGGACACGGAGTCTGCGAATTCCTGAAAGACACAAGCACCAGGCCTCTTTGATGGCTGAGCCGGCGGCATCCTGGCCTCCCTCCTCCTCCAAGCCATGTCCCCATGTGCGGCATCCGGAGGCCACCGTGTGCACTGTCCCGACACCCCACGGCCCTATGGGGACCCATGGCAGGCCCTGGTTCTGAGTGGGGAGCCCCAGCCTGGCCCCGCACCTGAGCAGAGCCTGCCCGCGGGAGGCCACAGCCACTCTTGCCCTCCCCTGCCTCGTGGAGGGGCCAGCCTGCAGCTCTCGTTCGGGGAGCACTTGTGTGATAGAATCCTGAGCAGCGGGGGGCTTGCACACCCTAGACACTCGGCTCCCTGTCTTCTCAGTGTGGGAGAACCAAGGCATAAATACCCCTCAGTCTCAGGTACTTCCTGGCCGAGCTGTTCCCTGTGCTCACCCCACAGTATCCCCCCTTACTTTCTGCACACATGCACAGGCACACACAAGTGCACTCATGAGATGCAGGCACAGTGCACACATGTATGTGCACACGTGCACTTACAGACACACGTGCACACAGTGCAGCCAGAGATAATGCGCATGTACACACGCACTCAGAGATGCAGGCACACATGCGTGGTATGCACCCATGCACACGTACACGCACATGTGTGCACACAGAGAGAGAGATGCAGGCACACATGTGCGGTACCCACACATGCATGTGCACACTTGTTGAATTTTCCTAGTGTGACCTATGTCCTTATTAAAGCAGCCCATCTGCAATGACTAAGGCAGTGTGGCCCACGAATGTGGTTTTCTTGTCATCTTCCTCCCTCCCACCTGGCCCTATGGTGGACGTGTCCCTTCTTTGCCGGAGGAGGCAGGCTGGGTGGCAGCGCCCTTCACAGGCATTGGAGACAGAGAGATCTGGTGTGAATCGCATGGGCCCGTTTTCCTGATTTATAAGGTAATCCTCTTAATTTCCATCCGATGGTGCTTTCATGAGAATTAAATGCATTAATGTATCTTAAATGCTTAGCATGCTGCCCCGTGTTTCGTCAATGCTCAGAAACGGTGCCTGTTCTTCTTTCGTCATCATCATCATCATTGCTAATTATCATTTCCCTGGTCGCTGCAGACACAGGCTGCATCCTCACGTGGTTATCCGTGAGGGGGCACGTGATTCATTTCGGGATGGAATGGAGCTTCACTTTCCCGCCAGGTGTCCGGATATTGTGCTACAGATAAGAACAGGTCTCAATAAAGATGCAAAAGATAAATAGACAGGTTTTTTTTAAAAATCCCACTTACGGGCAGTAAAACCTATTCATATGGAAACAGGCCTGCATCCCAGACTCTAGAAACCTGCGCAGAACAACACTGAGGTGTTGGCGCCTGTCTCCTCTGTCCCGTGGGGGGCCTGCTGCGGTGGCGGCTCCCGAAACCCATAGTGCTGGGTGCCATATGGGCGTGACGATTCGGGCCTGGCAGGTGGCGAGGGGCCCTCCACTGGGCCTGCTGGGCCTGGGACGTGTGTGCTGGGGGCGTCTCTCCCCGGCTCGGCCCCTGCAGGAACCCAGGCTGCTGGGTGAGGTGCCTCACCTCCACTGGGAGCTGTGCAGTCCGTCCTAGGGTTGGCTTGGGGTTGGAGGCTGTCTTGTCCTTTGGGACCTGGGGACGGAGGTCCAGAGAGAGTGGGCATGTGTCCCAGGCACACGGTATATGGGTGTCCTGGGGCAGCCAGAACCAGTGACCACCAGTGCGCTGGCTCAGAACCACAGAAATCTGTCCCCTCTGGAGACAGCAGCCGGAGGTCAAGGTGGCGAGGGCTCGTCTCCCTCCTGCAGCTCCAGTGGAGGGTCCTTCCTGCCTCCTCCGGCCTGTGGGGGCTGCAGGCGTCCCTCCTGTGTCTGCCTCCTCCAAAGACGCCTGTCGCTGGATTCAGGGCCACCCTGATCTCAGATCCTTCGTGTCACAGCTGCATGGCCCCAGGCGCAGGCTCTGGGGCAGGCCACGGCATGCCTTTTTGGGGCCACCTGCAGACCACTTCGCCTTGTCATCAACACCTTCCACATGCGTGCTGTAATCCAGAGGGCAACAGTTTTCCACAGGAGTGTGAATTTGGGTAAATTCCGTACGTCTTGGATGAGCCCAACTTCTTCATTTGTGTCTGTTCCTCGAACAGTAGCAGGTGTAGACACGGGGCTGGTAGTGTCCCTGGCACCCTTGGCCCCCCACCACCAAGGGAAGGTTTTATCAAGTCCCACCTTCAGATGGACGCTGGTGGGCACAGGGCTCTGAGCTCTGACTGAAGGCACACGAGCAGGGAGCAAGGCTGGTGGGAACAGGGGTCCCAGGCTCTGCGGGCTCTGTGGCGCCTCAGTGAACACCGCTTTTGGAGCAGGAGACTTTGAGCCCTGTTCTTGCAGGACCGGCAGGAAGATGCAGCCCAGCACCACCTGCCTGGCTGGGAAGGGGGCCTCTGACCTGGGCGCGGGCTGAGGGCTCCTGTCCAGGCACAGGGGTCCAGAAAGGCATGAGCAGAGCTGATGGCTGGCTGAGAGGGACCTTGATGGAATGGTGGGCCTAGGGTCTGTCCTTCTGCAGACGTCCAGTGCTCAGGTCAGGGGATGAGCTTCGCTGTCTGCCCACCGGCTAGCTCTGCAGCATGCTGGCGGTCAGCAGAGGGTCAAGCCGCTGTTCCGCTGGGGACCTACGTGCTGGACCTACCTGCCTGCTGGCGGCACCTGCAGGTGGCTGGTTCCATGCGCTTTATCACTAGGATGGGCTTCCAGGGGCTGCCTGCGCCTTCTTCTGGCTTCCTCAAGGTCTGAAGCGCCTTGCGGGCAGACTCCTGTCTTTTGCTCCTCCAATAACATTTTTTAAAATTGAAGTATGATTAACCTACACTGTTATATTAGATACTAGTTTCAGGTGTACAACATTCAACAATTCTGTGTGTGCCTCGGTACTCATGATGGTAAGTGTACTTTTAATCCCCCTCACCTGTCTCCCGTCCCCCCCCACCTCCCCGCTGGTGACCAGCAGGGTGTCCTCTAGAGCGAAGAGTCTGTCTCTTGTTTTGTCACTCCTTTTCTTTGTTTGTTTTTTTTTCAATTCCACATATGAGTGAAATCATATGGTATTTGTCTTTCTCTGACTTATTTAACTCCATATAATACTCTCTAGCTCCATCCGTGTCATTGCAAATGGCAAGATTTCTTTCTTTTTTATGTCTGAGTAATAGTCCATTGTACATATATACCACATCTTCTTTATCCAATCATCTGTCGATGGACATCTGGGCTGCTTCCATATCTCGGCTATTGTGGACATTGCTGCTGTAAACATCGGGTGCATATCTTTTGAATTAGTGTTTTCATTTTCATTGGGCTTACTGGATCACAGGGCAGCTCTATTTTCAACTTTTTGAGGAACTTCCATACTGTTTTCCAGAGTGGCTACACCAGCTTGCATTCCCACCAACAGTGTAGGAGGGTTCCCCTTTCTCCACATCCCCGCCAACATCTGTCGTTTCCTGACTTGTTAATTTTAGCCATTCTGACTGGTGTTAGGTGGTATCTCATGGAGGTTTTGATTTGCATTTCCCTGATGCCAAGTGATGCTGAGCATCTTTTCATGTGTCTGTTGGCCATCTGCATGTCTTCTTTGGAGAAATGTCTGTTCATGTCTTCTGCCCATTTTTAATTGGATTCTTTGTTTTTGTTTTTTTATTTTTAGGGTTGATTTGTAGAAGTTCTTTACATATTTTGGATATTAGCCCCTTGTCGGATATGTCATTTGCAAATATCTCCTCCCATTCAGTAGGTTGCCTTGTCATTTTCTTGGTGGTTTCCTTCTCCAGTAACTTTTCAAGGTGCCCGGATCAGATTCCTATGCCTTGTGTGCTCTGAAGAGCTGTTCCAATGTACTTTTGATTGTCCTTTTTCCGTCTCTTTAAAGTGAAGTTTCGAACGTCCACGAAGTGAGGATCCTGTTAGCACAGGATGCATCTTGCTGTTCTGTGTGCCTGATGGGCCCTGTGAGGTTCCTAGAAGAGGTCGCCTCCAACCGCTGGCTACACAGAAAAGCGACTTCATTTGGTAACTAGAGGCTGCTCTCCTTTGTGCAGAGGTGCAGGACGGATGCCCTGTGTGCCAGGGTAGCACCTGCGTAGCCTGCTGAACCCCCCAAAGAAGCTGCTGACACGGTTTCAACATGCGGATTCGGGGACACACACGTTCCGCCCATAGACCCATGAGATGGGGTGTGGTATGAGTGACCTGCGCGGGTCTGGCTTTTGGAGGGTGTGGGGCACCCCTTCTCTCTCCGGCCTCTCTTTCTCCCCCATCCCTCCTCTCTTGTCCCGGGCCCCCTGGCTGGAGACCCTGAGGGTGGAGCTACCATGGGGGGCCTGGGACCACCAGCTGCCCACCCGCCGACAGCCCTGTGGTTTCACTGGTTTTGAGGACGTAGGTTACAGCAGGAGCATCATTACTCTAGTATAAAGAATGAGAGGAATTTATTATAAAAAGGTAAGTAAAACCTGACAAATCAGAGAAAAGCGAAGGGTGCACAGAGCACCATACCGCCCAGCTGACCCGCCAGGCGTCCTAGAGCCAGGTGAGCGACCTCTAACCCACGTGCCCTTTAGGGGATCTTGGGGCCCTGGGGCCCCGACCGCGTGGGTCAGCAGCTCTGCACGGTTCTGCTGCCAATGAATAATGTTCTTCATGTGTGAACAGCCATTACTGGGCTTCACCTGACGCATGTTTAATTTTCGTTCGGACTGAAATGCGCCACGGGAAATACAGATGCCGAGCCGCTCGCTCGTCTGCCTCTGAGCCACCTGATGTGCGCAGGCTCTGCTGGATGCAGAGCGGGCAGCCGGAGCCACGGCGGTGGCAAGGACAGGCGGCTCGCGGCTCTGAGGGGTGTGCACGTTCTCCCGGCCCCCAGCCTCAGCCCCCTGCCCTCTGACCTGGCCGTGCCCCATCTTCTCCCCTACAGTCCTTTTGCTTTATTCTTTTTT